ACACACACACACACACACACACACACACACACACTAGTTAGAGACTATATCCAGAACTAAATCCTGTTCTCTGACACTAGTTTGCACAACAAACATCTTCTGTGTACAAATAATCTTCTGTGTACAAATTAATTTTAATTTTGAAACAGTATACAAACCTGCTAAATATTATGGGTGAAAAATATCCTTCTGCACCACAGTCTTGGAAAAAGCCAGGGTACAGAAAAGTCAAAGGTTGACTAGGTCAGAGCTCTCACTCAACTTGACTAACTCCTGAAATTTCTGGGACTGTCCTGATTTTCAGAGAGCTGTCCTGGTGTCCCTGAGAAACTCCCTGAAATGAAAATGTTGTCATAATTTTGAAAAATTGTTTCGGAACTAGTTCCAGGCAACATCCTGCTGTGTCTACTGCACCTGTTGCTTGGTACTGTAAAAGCACATCTACACATGATGCTGTGTCGCCATAGCAACATGCTATGGTGACGTAGTATCCATGGGGGTCTACACGTATCCAGCAGCTACTTCGCTGTAGCAGCACGCTCCCCCATTATAGTGTGTCATTATGGCGAAGCATGCTAAAAATAACCATGAATCACACTTCACTTCTTCCAAAAGGAAGTGCGAAGTGCCGAGCCTTCGTTTCTCTATTCGGTCCGACCCGGGTGGACCCCTCTTGCTAGAGGGCGCTCTCACCTCCCGCGGTGCACCCGCTGAACTTGCCTGCCACGACTTTGATGTTATTCCGGTTCAGTATTATTCGTCTGGCGCGTGCACGTCCGGAAGTGAGACTCTGCGTATGTGGGTCCCCGGGGTCGCAGAGGGCTCCTCCACCCCTACACCCTCGCCCTGGCCTCTGGATTGTGGGGTCCCCACTGGCCTCAATCATACTCGGAGCAATTAATCCCTCTTCCAGCGGGATTCAGCTCGCCAAGTTGCCTCACTGGGCTGCCGTACTTTCTCGGGCGGAGTTCTGTCCTCGGGGCTCCTACGAGCCTAATTCCCCGTGGGGTGTCCCTCTTCCCCTGGGACTTCGGGAGAAGGACAAGTCTTCCCCCAGTAGGGTTGTCGTCCGCTCACCAGATGGGTGAGCTGCTCCCTCCTTGCACCAGCGGCTCTGCCCCACGGTCTCCCCTGGCTTCTGAGGGGAACTGCTGGGCTGGGTGTTCCACTGCCCCCGGCTCCGACCCGGTCCCATGCCGGGGTCTTACCCGCACCCCAGAACGTGCGGGTCCGGTGCTGAGCGGATTGCCTCTGCCTGCTTCCCGCGGTGCCGGTGTCCGCCGCTTGTCCGGGCACTTCCGGTTCCGCTGCCGCCTCCGTCTCGTGGACCGCCGGCCCTTTTAACACCGTCTCTCGGCGATCCCAGCTGCAATCAATCAGTGAGTGCCCTGTCTCGCCGGGAAAGGGCGGGTCCACCATAGCGGATATCCTGCCACTGCTTTCCCCGGGGTTCCTGGATTCTCGCGCTCCCGCACAGGAAGTACTAAAGCACAGCACAATAACAACATCGCCATAGGGCAACATGTGGATGCGCCCTAAGAGTATGACCATACTGCATCTGGGTTAACTTCTGGCTGCCTTCAGAACTGGAAATACCATAACCACATTTAGAAGGTGCTGCACCTAGGATAATTGCTCTGCCTCTTAGCACCAATTACTTGTAGTACAAACAAATCTAATTAGCCTTAGCACAGTGCAATGTAAATGCAGCTAAGCTGCTTCCATTTCAGAAAATAGCTGTGGGAAACTTCCTGACTGAGAAGCAGCACAGATGTTTTCTACCTCTTAGCAGAGGTAATTAGTAGGGCTGTGCAAAGCTTCGGATTATGATTCAGATTCGGAGATGATTCGGATTATTTGGAGGCAGAATCTATGAATCAGAATCAAATCGCAGGAAGCTTTAGGCTTTCCGAATCAGTTTGGAGCTTCCAAATTGATTTGGAAAAGATTTGGAGATTTGGCCATAGGATATAATGGGGAATCAATGAAATATCTGTAACTTTGTTG